TGCCGTTGTCCCTCCCGAGGAGGTCGCAGTAGCTCTGGAGGAGTTGGTACTCCTTGGCGATCGCGTCCTTTCCCTTGCCGAGGATGTCCGCCCGCATCCTGCTAGCTGTCCTCTCGCTGACATCCACGCCGGAGGTTGCCTTGAGCGTCTTCACCAGCGAGGGACAGGTGATCCTGTGGTTGGCGCTCACGAGCGCCGCTGCCTCCCTCTCCACACATCGGCGATTGATCCGCTGCTTTTTGTTACTGGCCTGGCCGGTGCACGCCACATGATCGAGGACCACCTCCGTCACCTTCCAGGTGCCATCGGTTTGCTTGCACCCCCGCGCAAGCACCGGGCAGCCGGATGTCGCTTTCCCGTTGACGATTGCTCCCGTGCAGCGGTGGAGCTTGCCCCGACCGCCAATAATCCGCTTGTCTAGCCGGCACTGCCTAGACTGTGCGATCATGCAGCGCTCGAATGCGTGTTTGAAGGCACGTGACGTCGCAAAAGTTGCCTCTTCAACCATGGCGCCGCCAGCAGTTGACAGAGGTGCACCCCCGCTTGACCCTGAGCGAGCGCCCTGCAGAGCAAACTGCCTCGACATCCTACTGCTGCCGTGACGAGTCGGTGTGCACTCGTCATGGTGGCGGTTGATGCTTTCGTGTGTGTGAGTATTGTTGCTCAATGCGCGTCGTTTTGTTCTGTTTGCGCGACCTGTAGGTTCGACCCGTTGGTTTTGTTGTCCGTTGTGTGTCACGCATTTGTTTGTGGCGTGTGTTGTTATAGTGCATTCCTTGCCGGGCTTACTGCCGGCATCTTTTTGTGCCTGATATCCTCCCGTTCCGGTACCGGAGGGGCCTGGCATGTGTCTGACATGTTCCTCCTCGGTCGGTCCGCAGTCGGCAGTCATGGATACGAAAGATGCCATGGATACGTGGTTGGGAGGTTCTGAGACGTTGCGAGGCTATTCGATGTTCTGCCGTGCGGTGACGTGGAGGTCAATTTCCGCTCGATTTCCGCCATCCGTATGTGGACACAAGTGGGTACAATTTGGACAAATGTGGGTAAAAAAATAGACACAAGTGGGTACATGAAAAAATTAGTTGACGCCGGTGGGTGTACCCACTGGGATGTCGGACAGAAGTGGGCACTCTGTTGAGGACTTGCGCGCGTCGGCGGCATTAGAGGGCCGAAGGTGTGCCTGAAAGTGGGAAAAACTCGATGCCCGTGCTGTGCATGGTCCCTGGCTGTGTCGCCCAGGTGTCAGAATGGGGTTTTGAGTCGTTTGGGGGCCGCCTATGGAGTGCGCGCGCGCTGGATTTTCGAGTACCCACTTTTGTCCGAGAATGGTGTGGGTATACCCACACCGGTCGCCCCGGTGGTCTAGTGGGTAGCCTCGCAGCCTGCTAAGGGCCAGGTCATGGGTTCGAGTCCCGGCAGGGAGAGTTTTTTTCTCACTAAATAAATCCTGGTCTAGGATGAAAGCGACGCGCTGCAAAGCTCGTTTGTTAGTAAACCATAATCGACTTCGTAAGTCGCGAGGGAAGGGATTGCTGTACCCTTCTCGCGATAAAAATACCTCAGGCATGAACCGCAGGAGGGGGGTCCAACCGCCCCCTCCTATGTGACCCCGGTTGGGTCGTCTAGCCAGTAGAAGTGGAGGATAGGGGCCAGAGGGGCAGACGGCAGAGTCCAATGATGGGAGAGAAACAAACAAAACAAAAACAACCCACTTGTGTCCATTTCCCAAAAATAATCCTATCTTCCTCACTGATTCCAATATTATGGCCTGAATGCATACCTCACCTGACAGCTAATCCGCCCAGCCCCAGTCAACAGCTCCCCCTTTACTTGGTGCTAATCACACATACGTATGCGTAAGGCAGGCGTGGGGGCGGCAGTGGCAGTAAATGGTTGGGGGGAATTCGATTGTGCTGGGTTTCCAGGAAGGCTTTCACAGTTAGTTCACACTTTGCAGGATCTGTCGAATAGGTTTTTAGCGGCGGGAAATGTGTCGTTTCGGGGGGTGCGATACAGTAATACGCATCGCTTACCGCAGTTTCGAGCTTCCACTGGGGTCTGTCAGGTGCATTCAGCCGTACAGCCGTGGCCGCACGTTTTCGAAGCTGCTTTTATTGAGGCTCCACCCCCAGGACTTTACGCGCGGGGCATCGAGGGGGGCCAAGGCGAACAAACAGGACATGGCGAAAACTCCACCTCGAGCGCGATCTCGCAGTGCTTCGCCTACAAGATGGCCCAAGAACCCTCGTGCGGCGGGAGGGACGACTTCGATCGAGAGGACGATGGGAGGCCAAACCACTCCGGAGGTAGACGAGGTAACTTTCCACGCTGCTGAATAGGCTAGTGGTCATGTCTGTTAACAGTAGTGCCCGCCAACTCGTATAAATCATCTGTTGTGAGCGAGGATCGACCCGAAACCGCTACTTTGTCTACAGCAGTATCGTCGATGACTGAGCCATTGCTAAGCTACCACATAGTCTACTGCAGTAGGATTTACGTGTCGTGCTGGCGGCTGAACGAAGTTGTTCCGCCAGTTTTCTGTCTTGTTCGTCCAACAATCTGAGTCTGTATTTCATGTGAGTGCGATTCTACAAGACCGGAACTACTGTAACAACCTGTCTGTGGTCGACAGCAGCAGTGCCGGCGATGAAGCGAAGTAAGTGAGCCTCGGACCCGATATTAACGTTTCTCATCTCCGCGCTTGTCCTGTCCTGTAGGGGGGCTGCCTACGCAAAGAACGTAAGATTATCTCGAAAAAAGATCTGGCAGGGGGCACGCACACCCTACGAACCCTAACCCTAAACAGAGACCCTTGCAAAAACTAAGTTTGGGGGGGGTTACCGGGGGGCCAATGCTGACTGGTCAACAGGACAGAAACGATGATGATGCGTTCTCTGCACCCTGAAAAGCGGGGCGACTCCGATAAATATTGGGGGCGATTTTTTCGTGGGATAGCCTCACGGTGAGTACCGGGGCATCCATCTTTTTGCACTAGGTTTATGGTGGTACTTTGGTTACCGTCGGTACCGGGACACGTTTGAAAAGGGGCACAGAGGCGTACACATCACCTGCAAGCTTGGCAACACACAGCAGACACAGCACACCCAGCACGTAGGACACAGAAAAGGAGGAGTGTGTGGGACATGGAAGAAACACGCCCTCGCTACTGCTGCTGCTGCTGCTGCTGCTGCTGTGCCGCAAGCAGCAGCAGCTACTGGTGTAGCCAGCGGCAGGAAGAAAGGCGGCGTGATGAACTTAGTAATGGTCAAACGCAAACATACCGACGCACAATAACAAAGACGGGTGGCACACTGATGTGGTGGCACAATACTACTCTCCTGCTGTTGTTGTGTATGGCGTGGTGCAGAACCGCTCGGTGAGACAGAGATCAGACAGATCAGAGATGATGCTCTACAAGTACTACCGTCGAATATTCATGTGTACAGCAGCAGCGGCAGCAGCAGCAGAGTTGTAGGCGCGACCTCTCACTGCACACATCATCGTCACAGGAAGGCGCGGATCTCATGGTGGTATCACCTCTCTCTACACATTGTTGTTGCTCGAATCATCGCTGGTGCTGCTGCATTTGGCTGCCACACTAACCGCCTTTAGAGCGGATGGCGTGCTACTTGCCTGTTTGTGTTGATGATATGACTACATAGTCCACTCTAGAAGCGCTGGTTTGTGCGCCGCAAAAAAGCAGCGAGAGTGGACAAAAGGGGGCAGTCATTCACAGCGCAGACAGATCTAGGTGATCTCTTGTTCACCCCGCATCTACTGCAGCAACCTGCTTGCTTGGGAATCGACGTCGTGGTCGTCGAGATATATATATACTGTGTAGATGTTTCGCGAGAGAGAGGCCTGGACTTTCTTCCTCTTTTTTTTTCTGTTTTTTTTTTCCAGGCGCCGCCGCCAGTAAAAATCGCCATATTGGGTGCGGCAAAAAAACACTGCAAGGTGAATGTTTTTTTTCTGAGTCGAAGTACATACACGAGTTGGACTTTTGCACACCCCCCCCCCGCCCCCCCCGGTGTTTGCCATCGGGGTTGGGTTTTCGTCGCTTGGCAACGACGTTGTAAAACAAGCCCATTCACTTCGTGAACTCGGCAACCAGTTTACCGTTTGTTCGTTACCTCTGTTTTTGCTTTTTTGCAGTAACCATAATGGTGGTCGAGTAGATCATGTTGTGCGGGATGAAGAACCCTTACTCCGCGCAAGGGGGGCGATCGCACCACGTTGTGTTAAATTCGTCAAGCACCCTCAAGGCAGTTACACAGTCCTTATTACTGTCTCTGGAAGTGAAAGCACCAGAAAATAAATTCAGTCGTACGCAGCGGTCATCCGTACGCAAGGAAGTAAG